ACTCTACCATGATGCTGCCATCACCTCATATTTACATTTTTACCAACAGTGCACAAGGGTTCCCTTTTCTCCATATCCTCACCAACACTTATCTCTTGTCTTCTTGATGATAGTCATTTTAACATGTGTGAAGTGATATCTTATTGTGGTTTTTGACTTGCATTCCTCTGCTTATTAGTAATGTTGAGGATCTTTTCATGTGCCCTTTGGTTATTTGTATGGTTTCTTTGGAAAAATGTCTATTCAATTCCTCTGCTTATTTCTTAATCAGATTGCTTGTGTTTTTGGTATTGAGTTGTATGAGTTCTTTATATATTCTGGATATTAGTGCTTTTATCTGATATATGGTTTGCAAGTATTTTGTCCCATTTCACAGGTTTCCCTTTTATTTTGTTGATCGTTTCTTTTACTGTCCAGAAGCTTTTTAGTTTTATGTAGTTCCACTTAATTTTTTTGTTTGTTGTTGCTTGTGCTTTTGGTGTCATATTCAAAAAATTAATTGCCAGGATCCATGTCAAGGAGCTTCTTCCTTATATTTCTTCTAGGAGTTTTATGGTATCAGGTCTTAAGTTTAATTTTGAGTTTTGCTTATGATAGAGAGCAAATTATACAAGCCTCAATGGCAGTTTGGCTCTAACTAACTAAGTGGTATCTCATGTAGACATCTAGTACAAGTTGCCCTTTCAGTCTTTGAGCCTCAAATTCCATAAATCTGACACAAATATTCACTGATAACTTTATATAAAGCCAAAGTTTGCATCAAATTCCTTGGAATCTCAGAAATTAATATTCTTCTTTATTATGTTTTTTTAGATGAAATCAGTGAAGAACTTGGTAAGTTCTGTGTTTCTCTCCTACGCCAAATTAAAAACAATGCCTGTGTCTTCTCAGAACACTTAACAATCTCTTTGATTGGTTGCAGACCGAAGAAAAGTCCTGGGAGAGGCAGGTAAGTGAAGTCAAGATTCTCACTATTGACACACCGTATGTTGTTACCTATAACAGCCCATGTCTTTCCCAGTTATCTAGCTAACCTAGAATGTTTCTATCCATTTGTAGGTCTGAATAAAGCTCGAAGATTTGCAGGTAAATGCCAAGTGAAAAATATATGGTTAAGAATGACTTTATGCCTGTCATTTAATGTCTCTGGAATTCTATTGCAAAAGAAAAAGATTTTGCCCACCTAATCTATAAGACATATTTGAACTTAGAAAATCACTTGATTTTGGATATTTGGACCTAATGTTAAATAAGAACCAAGTTACTAAATAGGAGAAATTTTATTTTAGAAAAGACTGCTTTAAATGAACACCCAAGCTATGCAAAGCACTGATACAATGTGATTGGTCATCTTTTTCTGAATTGCAAGTTGTAGATCAGTCAGAAATGTCTTCATTTTATCCTACTTCCACAATATGGCAACCACCAGATTATCCAGAGCCAAGGAAGATGAGTAAAATACAAGATTTTATTTCTAGTCTCTCCTGTCTTATCTTGAAACCTCAATTCCTTTATGTCTATGAAGTCATTCTCATCAGGATACAAACAAGCTATCTTAAAAAAAGAGGTAAAGAACAATCTCAGTTGATACTCTTTTTCTATATGACTACTAACCAATTTATCTTTCCTTTACAACAAAACTCTACTAAATAGTTGTAAATACACATTCTCTCTAATTTTTATCCTCCCATTTCTCTTCATCTCATCCATAAAAAGGCCAAAATCCTGAAAATGATCTTGATAGGCATAAATGACTCTGACCCCTTTCTCTTCTTATTGCCTTTCTAATTCCATCCCCTTCCTTCTCTCTCTTACTCTCCTTCAGCTTCACTGGACACTTCCCTCTCCTTGAACACACTGGGCATGCTTCAGCCTCTGTTCTTTGCAGATAGGGTTTTCTCCCTGACATTTCTCTATCTCTCTGTTAAACTTTTCGCTTTATCTATGGTTGGCATAATGTTTCTATTACAAATGTTGAGGAAACATTTTGAGATTTGGACCATTGTTAGACCTTTCATAGGACAGTGCCCATGTATCCCTCTAACCTTATTGGCTGCATCCTTGGAACTTCTGATATAACACCAAGTCATTTTCACAGATGAAATGGTATGGGATGCATACAGACAAAGTTTATTTTTTTATTTTCTGTGTATATAAAAAGGAAATTAGAATGTAATCTACTTTGTTCCTCACCCCTGCTTTGACCTTTCTCTTAGAGGCTGAAAAGTCTTATCTTAAGTCTTAAAATCAATTGATGTACTCCTTTTTCTGCAGAAGACATAATATTGGATAAAGCCACTGCTCACCCTTACCTTGCTGTGTCAGATGATGAGAAATGTGTGAAATCTGTTCCAGAAAAACAGGACCTTCCTGACAATTCTGAGCGATTTGATACTCTGGTGGCTGTGCTTGGTCAAAACAGCTTCTCTGATGGTGAGCATTACTGGGAGGTTGAAGTAGCAGGGAAGAACAGGTGGGCAATAGGACTGTGTGTGGACTCAGTTAACCGGAAAGGGCAAGACATCTCTGCTGGCCCTGAGAATGCCTTCTGGACCATATCCCTGAAGAATGATGTATACAAAGCCCTTTCCACCCCCCCGTTCTGTTCTTAATGTCCCAGAACCTCCCTTGATAGTGGGTATTTTTCTGAGATACGAGAAAGGGTTGATCTCTTTCTACAATGTGACAGACTTTACCATTCTCCACACTTTCAAAAGTAAGTTTACTCAGCCCCTGAAGCCATATTTCTATCCTGGACGTCTCAGTCAAGATAACAGTAATGGCCTCACCATTCTTGAGGTATCAGCAACAGATCCTGCTGTCTCTCTTGCTGTCTCTCTTTAGAACACAGCTAGATAATACAGGGCTCATCTGCATGGATCATGAAAGCATGGAGCCATTTCCCAACCAGAAGGCTGTAAGCTGGGGAATGTAAGGATTTGCTCTCAGGACCCAGTCTCCTTCACAGTCTTGTGGGAGACTGAGAATAATTCCTCTCATTGGGCATTTCCACTGCTCATCTCTGCAACCCATCTTCCCTTAATGCACTTTCTTTTATCCCTTTTGATTTTAAGAAATGCAGAGCTCTCTCATCCTTCCTAGATTTGAGGGCAAGATTCTGAAACTAGTTAGCTACTTTCCTCAACAAATCACTGACTACATTTCTCAGTGTGCATTATACCAGATGGATTTATGTATGTTTCTGTTTCACCAATAAGTTTCGGCTCCTCAAGGCCAGAGACCATGTGCTATTTGTTTTTTTACCATCTTTGTGTCAAAATGAGTGCCTTAAGCAGGTTCCTATACTGGATAACGTTGAATTCAGTATAATTGAATCCTATCTACAACCAGACTGACACATGTGTTCAATGACATTTTTATGCATCTTCTACCATTTTTCGTAGCCCCTTCTCTGGCTCCTTTAAGGCATATGACTATAAATTATGCGTCTGAGATATAACCCATGCCATCTGCCTCTGAAGCCCATGCCATTACACTGTGGTGTCTAATATAAATGGTATATGGTCCTACGTACCACCCATAGACAGGCTAAAATTAAAGAAAACAAAAACAATGAAGTAGTAGAGCTGACACATGTTGCTGGAGGGAGTATAAAATGGTACAATACGTTTTAGAAAAAGCTTGGCAGTTTCTTATATAGTTAAACATATAACTATTCTATGATCAGCAATTCAACTTCTACATATTTACTCCAGATAAATGAAAGCATATGGATACAAGAGCTTGTCCAAGAATGGTCATGGCAGATTTATTAACAATAGCTATAAACTAGAAACAACAGAAATGTCCATCAATGGGAGAATGTATAAATACATTTCAAGACATTTATTCAGTGGGGTAGTATTCGAAATTTAAAAATAATAAATACTTATATATGCAATAATATGAATGATTCTCAAAGATATGCTGAGCAAGAGAAACGACACAATTTACATAGTGTTATATTTCCATATGAAGGAAGTTCTTAGAGATAAAATTAATGTATCATGAACAAATCAGATAAGTAGTTGCTTTGGGGACAGATTGGGAATGAGCATAAGTTAACTTTCTGGAGTAATAGAAATGTTATATATCTCAATAGGGATAAGGATTTCATTGATGTATGCATGGGCCAAAATACATCTGGGTGTACATTGAAAATTTTTGCATTTCATGGTGTGGCTGTCGTTCTCCAAGGTGGCCCCACTGTCCCTTGTCTCCTGTTACTAATGCCTTTTTGTAGATACTCCATCACTGAATAAGAGTTATGACCAATAGAACACAGTGGAGTTAACAGCACTCCAGGTTAGGTCCTAAAAGGCATTGCAGCATCTGCTTTTATCCCTTGGGTCTCTCACTCTGGGAAAATCAGGCACTATGCCATGAGGGCGTGCAAATAGTCCTATTGAGAGGCTCATGTGAAGAGAAACCAAATCCTCCTGCTAATAGCCATGAGGATGAATCACTTTGAAGTGGCTCATCCAGCCCCGTCTAACCAACACTGGATTGCAACTTCATGAGAGATGGAGCCACAACCACCCAACCAAGTCCCCAAATGCCTGAACCACAGGAATCATGAAAAATTGCTATGAATGATTGTTGTTCTTTTAAGTAACTAAGTTTTGAGATGATTTGCTACCTGGCATTGAATAAGTAACGTACAATGTTTGTAAATTTTAAATCAAAAAGTAATGAATTATAAATAAAAACTCTGTTTAATATTTTTTGCAATGTTATTATTTAGCAATTCTAAAATATTTTTTGTTTATTTAGGTTTAAAAAATGAGTAAATATATTAAGAATAATAAGACCCAGAATTTTCTTCAGTAGAAAAGATAGTTATACCTATGAAAAAGAGGGAAGGATAGAATGTACCCTATGATGTTTTGAATTGAAATTGGATGTATCAGTATAAACTCCTAACATAAATATATGTGTTATTATTAACATTATTAATCATTGTCATAAAATATTAATTATATAATAGATTGTAATATATAATTATAATAATATTATACATATCATGTCATATTATATATAATATTGTGTAAATATTATATATACGTATACATCTGTCTGCTGAAGAGGACCTACGTGCCCAGTAGCAATGACCACACTTAGTGACCAGATTTTCATTTTTAACTATTCTGCACCAAAAGGAACCAGGGATCTTTGGAGAAAAGCTTGATTCCAGGGAAGAGGAAGGTAAAGAAAGTATAAGATAAGCCTGCAACATCTTATACTAGAAAGTGAGTTCTCAAATATTAATGGGGACGTATTTAAAGGATACACAAGACAACTAGAAATGTTCTTCTGGCTAAATTTGAGACATCATCATCTTCATCATCATCATCGTCATCATAGAAATTAAGTAAATAAAATTCTGTGGCTCTTACTGATATAAATCAATAATTAGTCTATTAGGGGCCAGCCTGGTGTTGCAGTGGTTAAGTTCACACGTTCCACTTAAGTGACCCAGAGTTCACCAGTTTGGATCCCTGGTGCAGACCTATGCACCGTTTGTCAAGTCATGCTGTGGCACGTGTCCCACATATAAAAGAGGAAGATGGGCACAGACCTTATCTCAGGGCCAACCTTCCTCAGCAAAAAGAGGAGGATTGGTGGCAGATGTTAGTTCAGCGCTAACCTTCCTCAAAAAATAAAAAAAAAAAAGAATAATAATAGCGAATGAATAAATAGCGACAAATGGAAAGTTCTTTCAAACATTACAATTCCAACTAATAAGTGTAGAAGGAAGATAGAAGTATGATATGAAACAAGCTATTTACATAGTCTCAAATTATCTCCCTACAAAATAGTGGTTTCATGTCATAACTTGACAGTTGATAGACCTGATGGACACTACCTAAAGTAAACGATCATAGGATCACTAATATCAGATATTGGAACAAGCCAACATTATGTGCCTCCTAATAATGCACTGAGAGTGATGCTACCTCACCTTCTTGATCTGTCTTCCAAAAATACTTAATTTAAATGTAATCATGAGAAAACTTCAGACAAAACCAAATTGTAGAATATTCTATAGAATAACTATCTTGTTCAAAATGCAAAGTGAAGAAAATTAAAGGTCAAAGAAAAGAATCTTAAAAGCATGAGAATGCAAAGCAATACATGGTCCTAAATTTAATTCTCTAACAGAAAAAAAATAGTTACAAAGGACATCATTGGGAAAAATGACAGAATTTGAATATGGACTATGCATCAGATAATAGTATTACATTGACGTTAAGTTTCTTGACTTCAAAAATTGTACTTGGTATCATAAATATCCTTCTTCTTTGGAAATGCACAGTAAGTTAGTAGATTATTGAGTGAAATAAAAACACAGTTTCTGGGGCCAGCCCTGTGGCTGTGTGGTTAAGTTCACATGCTCTGCTTCTTTGGCCCAGGGTTTTGCTGGTTTGGATCCTGGGCACAGACATAGCACTGCTCGTCAAGCCATGCTGAGGCAGTGTCCCATATAGCACAACCAGTTGGACCTACAGTTAGAATATACAACTACTTACTGGGGGGCTGTGGGGAGAAGAAGAAGAAAAAAAAAGATTGGAAACAGATGTTAGCTCAGGTGCCAATCTTTAAAAAAAACAACACAGTGTCTTCAGTTAATTTTCAAATGGGTCCAAGAATTATATGTATTTACACATATATAAAGCAAATAAATGGACCTTGAGGACATTATACTAAGTGAAATAAGTGAGACAGAGAATAACAAATACTGTGTGATCTCACTTATATGTGGAATCTAAAACAAAACAAAATCTCATAGATACAGAGAAGAGACTGGTGGTTGCCACAGTTGGAGTTGGGGGGTTAAATTAGTGAAGGTAGTCAAAAGGTATAAACTTCTATTTATAAGATAAATGGATCCTAGAGATGTAATTATACCATGGTGACTATACTTAATACTGTATTGTATATTTGAATGTTGCTGAGAGTAGATTTTTTTCTGCTTTTTTTCTCCCCAAATGCCCCCAGTACATAGTTTTATATTTTAGTTGTGCGTCCTTCTATTTGTGGCATGTGGGATGCCGCTTCAGCATGGCCTGGTGAGCTGTGCCACGTCCGCACCAGGACCCAAACCAGAGAAACCCTGGGCCACCAAAGCGCAGCGCCTGAACTTAACCACTCAGCCACGGGGCTGGCCCCGCTGAGAGCAGATCTTAAAAGTTCTCATCATAAGAGAAAAATATTGTAACTACGTGTGGTAGTGGATGCTAACATTACCACAATAAGCTAGACTTATCGTAGTAATTATTTCCATATATGTATATATATATATATATATATATATATATATATATACACACACGTATATAGAATTTTTATGTCATACACTTGAAACTAATATAATGTTATATGTCAAAACAAAATGAAACAAAAGGTAACTGAATGGCCCCAGTCAAATAACCTCTGCTTCCTTCTAAAAATGCATTGGACAGATAATATCTATCAATATACATATCCATCGTGTCATTTTCTATCGTGGAAGTAAGGTAGTGTTGATAAAACCCTAATGGAGAGAAAAATATTCCACAGTAAGATTGTAAGCCAATTTGTAACAATATATTCCTTCTTCCAGTGGCTTTCCTGACATTTCACCCACCATCCACATAAAAAAGGATTAGTAAAAAAGCTTTTAAATGTGACCTATCGAGATCACATCACTTGCTATTCTATGATCCAGAACAAATTTAGCACTTACCGGAAGATATTGTTGTTAAGAACACTAGCTATTCTATACCCTCATTCACAGAAATTAGGTGCATGTATGCTAGAAGAAAAGAGAAAAAAATGCAATGTCTGAAATTCCTTATTACATATGCTTTGTATTATTGTTTTAACAGCCCAAGAATTTGATACCTAAAGAGTCTGATGACAGAAATAGTCTTGATTTCTTACCTAATAACCGTTCTTCCCTTCTTCCTTCCTGAAATAATTCCAATTTGGCCATGACCTTAGACTCTCTCTGCCTTAAAGGAAAATGACAGAAACCCCAATCTCAAGGTCAGGTTTAATTATTCTTCCTTGCCAAAGATTGACAATAAAATGGGCAAATGAACAGATTAAAATGGGTGTGAACAAGCATATATTTCCTGGAGGCCTTTCAGAAAATATAGTTTTCTTTTGCTGTTTTGAGATAGTTTCCAGAAACAGTATTCTCTCTTTCATCTTTTGTGTTATATGATACAAGGCCCACAAGAGCTATACACATTTATTCAATAAATTTTATTTATTGCCTTATATATGCCATTTGCAGTTCTGGGTTCAAGAAAGACAGAAGGAACAAAACTAGTCACTGTTTTCAGAGGCTTAAAATATATTGCAGGGAAATAAACAACCAGCAAATAGATACATAGCATCTTAGTTGAGAAAAATAGAGCTGATTAAGGGAATGGAAATGTACAAAGATATTTGCTATGGCACTGCCAAACAAGGCCATGTGATGAGATATAAATCTGAAGGGAATGTAGGGAGCAATGCAGGTGGACCCCCATAAGAAGTATAGAGGGACTAGTAGGTGCAGAGTCACCAAGGGGAGCTTCTTTGCTTTGTTTGAGAGCATCAAGGGTCCAAGGTGTTTAGAGCAGAGTGAGTGAGGAGAGAATGGAAGAAGCTGAGATCAGAAAAATTCGTCAGGTCATTATAAATTCCTTGGGTTTTATGATGAAGAAGATAGGAAGCCAGTGTAGGAGTTGTGAGCAGAAAAGCAATATTGATCTGACTTATGTTTTTAAAAATTTGTTCTGACTACTGTGTAGAGAGAAGGTTGGTGGCGATACGGACAAGAATGGAAAACAAAGATTCATCTGGAGGACCATCTTCTCAGAAGCCTAAGAATAAAACTCACACAGAGAAGAAAGCAGAACCAAAGGAACTACATAGAATTGAAATTATACCCAAAGAACTGAAGGAACCAGAGTCTTGGCTATTTTTGCAGTTGTATCTTTTTGAGTCAGTACTGTCCAATTTCAGTTGGCATTGTTTTGCTTCAGATGAAATAATCCTGATACAGTCACGTTGAAAATTCCTAAACAGCCTAGGGCCCATCAATGGACGAATGGAATACTACTCAACCATTAAAAAAAGGTGGAATCTTGCCATTTGTGACAACATGGATGGAACTGGACAGCATTATGCTAAGTGAAATAAGTTAGATGGAGAAGGCCAAGTACCTTATGATTTCATTCTTACGTGGAAGATAAAAAACAACAACAATGACAACAAACAAAACATAGATATAGAGAATAGATTGGGGGTCACTGGGGGGAAGGGAGGAGGGGGAATGCAAAAGGAGTAAAAGGCCACATGTGCACAGTGATGGATGGTAATTAGACTTTGGATGGTGAACATGATGTAGTCTACACAGAAATCAAAATATAATGATGCACACCTGAACTTTAAGAGAAACAAAGTCATGTTTTTGTGTTTTAGCAGTCTTTTGTCTCTCAATGCCAGGGAGGATCTTTTTATGGTGTCATGTCCCACGTCAGAGGGAAAATGCACAAATTGGAAACCTACTGAGGCCACATTTGAGTAACAAAGAGGGGTAGAAGGAGAATTTTAAGGCATTTTTTCCCTAAAGTTTATATGTTATCAAGATCATAGACATTGGAGATCATCTGAAGTGTTATGTCTTTATCAAAAGTTTGTTAGACTTTCAACAGGCCTGGTCTGGACATCTTGGGAAAGCTGTCTCATCAGATGCTGTCTGCTTCAATTCCAGAAAATCTCTACTTTCATGTCACCAGATGATGTGCAGGTGCAGTCAGGGTTCGATGCTTTCTTTAGGTGTGTCACATGAATCCATGAGTTTATTCCCTGGTGTTTCATGGCACAAAAGTTAATTCGTGGTTCCAGATAAGGGTCTTTTCAGTGAGATTGAAGAGAATTCTTCTAGAAATGTCTTTTCCAATAGACAATCTCAGGTTGCAAAGTGTGATGCTTAAGATTTTCATCTCCCTCAAGTGCACTGTGAAAAGATTGCTCAGCTGAAACATGGTTATTTTTAATAGAAACAATTAGGCATTTGCAATATTAGAGTATATCTCCTTTTATTAGCGGTGGGTCAAAAGAGGCAGGAGCCCAGGGCCATGGGCATCCCACGACTATCTGGGAGGGTGAGAGTTTATGAGTTCCAAAGAGGGTAGATCTAAATTTTAGAAGAACCAATGGTAATGCTTTTGGCCAAAGTATTTGGAGGTTCTCTACAAATTTTGCCAATTGAGTCTAAATAATGTGTGTTCAACTGAACCAGAAGATTGAGGGTGGTGAGCACAATGAAAGTGTTGCAAAAGTTATCAAACAGCACAGACTTGCCAAAGTACCTGACCAGTAAATTTTTTTTTTTTTTATCACTCTAAAGCTCAAGATGAGTTAGTTCCCCAGGTAAGGATAATTCTTTCAAAAAGGACTTTCATCACAGAAAAGGTGGTAGACTATCTACAGGGAAAGGCTTCACTCCAGTGAGAAAATATGCAAACCATGACTAAAAGATATTTATATTCATGAAGTGAGGGAAGTTGTATTAAATCCATCTGTCAAAACTTAAGTGGTCCGTTAGACAGCTTAGAATATCTGGGAGCAGCAGAAACAGACTTTCTTCCATTGTATTTTGGACAAGTGGGACAAGGGAGGGAGGTACTTTTTGTGGGTTTGTTAATATTTTCTATCAATATTGATTTATAAATGTTATTTTGTCAGTAAACCAATGGATTATTGTATGTACAGTAGTTAGGCATGGGAATTTTAAAGTTTCCAGTAGGACCGAGTTGTTATTTGGTCCAAATGAGAGCTTTTTCTTTATATTAAACCAACAGTTGCTGAATTTCTAATCTTATTTTTCTTTTTCTGAGGCCAATTGTTAGGTTTCTTGCCAGTTTTTCTAAGTTATGATTTAGGAAAATATCCCTTTGGTCCATGACAGAGGCTTTGATGTTTTGGGGTCCTTTAAGGGCTGAATTCCTTGTGGAAATGTCAGCAAGATAATTTCCATTAGCTTCCAGAGAGTCAAGTTTAGAATGTCCTGGGATTTTAATAATAGCTAAAGCAGCAGGTAAAATCATAGCATCTAATAATTTCTGAACATAGTGTCCATTTAATTTTATTTCCACTGGGGGTAAAAAAGCCATGTTACTTTCACAACATTCAAATGTCATGAGTTACTCTCAAAGTGTATCTACTATCAAGTATAAATATTGGCAGTTTTGCCCTTAGCTACAGTACAAACTTGTGTAAGACCATGTAATTCAACCCATTGGGCTGAAGTAGCCATAGGTAAAGACTCTGCTTTAATGATATCAAAAGGAGTTGCAATAACATACCCAGTACAACATTGGCCATGATCACCTTTTAAATAAGAATTATGAGTAAATCATGAGAAGTTGACGTTACCCAAAGGAGTTTCCTGCGGATCTTCACAAAGAATTAAGATTTGGCATTTAACAGTGATGAGAAGGGGAAAAAGTTGCAGAGTTGAGGTTATGACAATGTAAAAGAGTTACATGAGAAACAGTTAACAGAAGAATTTCATAGGACGTGAGAGAGCTCACTAAAATATGTTGAGTTTGATGAGTATTCAGGAGGGCATCTACCACATAAGATACAAAATGTTTAAAGGAGATCCCACAAAATTTTTTTCAGTGGCCTTAACCAAAAGGACAGTGGCAGTAATGGCTCCAAAGCAAGAGATATATCCCCTCATGACAGGATTCAGTTGCTTGCTGTAATAAACTAGGAGTCGATGATGGTCCCCATATTTTTAGATGAGTATCCCAAGGGCATTCTCTTTCTTTTGATATGCAAGAAAGAAAATGGGAATGTGATATTTGGCATGTCCAAAGACAGATGGGCTTATTAAATTCTTTAAGATTTTAAAGGCTATGTCACTCAGTTCTTCCCATAAAATTGGGTCAGAATTGTGATTCTTTAATAAAACATATGGAAATTTGGCAATAAGAAAGAAATTTAGAATGAAATTTTGGCAATAACCAACTAGCCTGAGAAAAAACTCACAGTTGTCACTTAGTTTTGAGTTTGGGGAAACTTAGAAAACAATGAAGCCTATCTGGATATAGACATAGCCTTTGTTCTGATATCAAATGCCCTAAATATTGAGCTTAGGTTTGGGCAAACTGCAGTTTCTCTTTGGTGACCTTATGTCTCTCTAAAGCTAAAAGTTTTACCAAGGGGACGCTGTCTTCCTGCGAGGAGACTTGGAAGGGAGAGCAAAGTAGCAAAGAGAAATTTTGCAACAAAGGAGAACCCCTAGGAAACTATATATCAGCCTTCAGGATTTTTGAAAAATAAAGGCTATCAGTAAAGCCCTGAGGCATTACTGGCTAGGTGAATTGTTTTTCTTCCCAAGTGAAGGCAAAAAGATACTGACTAGCTTCATCAACTGGAATGTTAAAGAATCAATTACTATAAAGAATTTACTTATACTGGGAATAAATGTTAGCAGCATATGAAGGTTAGGAACAATAGGGTGTCAAGTGTAACATGTTGTTTATTGCTCAGTGGTCTTGGACAAACCTCCACCCTTGGTCCTTGGGTTTTCTCACAGGTGAAAAAGGAGTATTACAGGAATAGTACAAGAGATAATATGGCCTTGAGCCTTATAATCTTCTATTATGGGCTTTATATCTTGAGGAGCTTTTTTACTTATAGAGTATTGACTCCTTCTGGGGAGAAGTTTTGAGGGATCTATTTGAACTTTGATGGAAGGAGTGCTGTAAATTTTACCAATATCATTTGGAAATTTTGCTCATAAGGAGGGTTGTAGCTGATTCAATAGGGAAAATAATCAGTGTTTCTCAAATCAGCCCTTGTACTGTCAGAGATTGAGCAAACAAAACAGGTCAAATGTCATTTAATTCACATGGTTGGCCATTTTGATGGTTATTGTAAAATTCTAGAATTATTTCCCTCTTTGGGGAAAAAGAAATTCTAGCATGATACTTTTCTAAGAAATCTCAGCCTAATAAATAATTAGGGGTGGAGGAACTAAGAAGAAAATGATGTGCATCTCTCTAAGGGCCTGACCACAAGGGAATAGGTTTAGAGAGAAGAACATTTTGAGGTTTATTAGAAATTCCCACTGTTTGAACTGTTTCAGTACTCCAAGGCAGGGCTGCTTTATAATAGTGCAGTTGAGCACTGACAGTGTGTCTCTGGTCTCAATTAGAACAGAAAGAGATTCATCTCCAACCTGGAGAAATGTTTTTCCAATCTAATTAAGAGGGAGGATTGGGAAGAGCCCTTGTAGTTCCTTGTGATGTGGATTAAGGCTGCCCCAGCTGGAGAAGCCCAAGGTGACCTGGCCTACATGCCAAACTATATGACCCAGTGGATTTTTTTATGGTATGAATTAGGGCTGCCCCAGGGAGAGAAGCCCAGGGCATCCTCACCTACATGCCAATCTATACGACCAGATTCATATCTAAAGTTATATGACCGCACAATAATGAGACCCCATCTGCACTGAAATCATTTAATGACTTTTTACATCATCTTTTCTTTTACCAGTAAAAATAAGTCACGTACCCATGCCTTATAAAATTAGCCCTAACCCTCAACTCAGGGCAGCAGCAGGAGCTCTGACTGCCCATGGGTCCTGTCCCCATGCAGCAGCAGCAGGAGCTCTGACTGCCCATGGGTCCTGTCCCCATGCACCAGCTCTTCCTGCCCATGGGTCCTGTCCTCATGCAGCAGCAGCAGCAGCTCTTCACTGCCCATGGGTCTTGTCCCCATGCAGCAGAAGCTCTGACTGCCCATGGGTCCTGTCCCCATGCTATTCCACACTACTCTCTAAATAAAAAGAGCACCACTGCCAGACCTTGAGAGTCCAAGAAATCTTTCTTTTGACTCCTTGGCTCACTGACCCCGCATCACTTGGAGCCCTGTCATTAAGAATTTGGAGGACACTGGAAAGCGTGGTTAGAAGGCTGAAGGTGCTTCAAAAATTAAATTTGCAGAAATCTATTTTCCAAGGTCCTGGCTATTTGCAATAATAACAAAACTAGGAGGTTTTTTGTTTTGTTTAGAGAGCTTCATTTACTGGTGTTGAAGATTAAGAATTTTAGGAGTCTTTCTTTTAGGTGACTCATCTAGAGTGTGAGAGAGTGGCTTTGCCAGATTAATTAAATAGAGTGGATATAGTTTATTTTTCCACTCTGGCCCTTTTTGTTATAAAGGAAAAGTCCCAGTTAAGCCCGTTAATAAACATAGAGTTAAAAGCTACTTGGCTATGTTATAATCCAATGTCATTGAAATAAAACATTAATTAATTAATTAATTTTTAAAAATGAAAAGTTTAACAATAACTAATAATAAAATAGAACAATTATAACAATATACTATAATAAAAGTTATCATAGATCTTAGAATAAGAAAAACTACTTGGTAGATTCAATATATGAAAAAATGGAATTTTCTTTAAAATCAATCTGAAGTCAATTGTAATTGTCATGACTAAGTTTATCAGGCTTTTGTGCACATCCGTGAATTTTATTCCAATCAACAGTGTTTGCAAAAGGCTTAAGAATTGCCTGATGAAATCATCTAATGGTTTCCCAAGCTTGATCATACAACAGGTTGGTCTCCTGGTTGTTATTCTAGAGACCTTTCAGAATTTTTCTAATTACCAGTTTTTATCCAATGCTGGGCCTGGCCTTTACCAGTAAGCATATAGCTAGCTAATATAAGTCAGATAAATGAAGTTAATAAGTTTGAATGACTATATTAAACTCCTGAGCAAATCTGTGACAATCCTTGGTTGCTTCGGAAAAAGTCTTTGACTATGGCTTGCAGTCTAGCTTTAGTCCAGGGAAAATAAAAAATTAAGAATTTAAACGTTGGATCTTAAGAAGGCTTAATTTTAAAGGGACAGGTTCTGATAGGTTCAGAGGAAAAGGGGTGAAGAAAGATCCAGAGAAAAAAAGTTCAATGAGAGTGTTAGTGTGGGGGAATTGAGAGTATAGAGGAGGTGTAGGCAGTATAGAAAGGAAGGAGGAAGATGGCACCAGAAATGGACTCTGAGCATGAGGAGCCACGGGAAAGAAAAATGATGGCACCAAAGGCAGAGCCTAAGACAAAGAAGCCAGGGAAGAGAAACAAGATGGCACCAAAGGAATGGGACATGAGACTTCAGAACTCATTTTACCTTTCTCTAATTATTTGTTTGCCTCAGTTAATACTAAAATTTTATTTTTCAAAAAGGTAACTGTAGACTCCTGATAACATTTGGAAGCCTCAAAATGCAAATAAAAACAGCTCTTCCTTTCAGTTTTGGAAATTACAGAACTATGATTGTCCAATTTGATTTTAAGAAAAGCAAGTTTACGGAGTTCAAAAGTTTCCCATAATGGCCATTGATATTTTAAATTACTTTGGTTGAATCAGTCCATTTAATTAAAAATGAGTGAGGGTGACATTAGCATCATAGCACAGTGAGCTCTCCCCAAAAACTCTTCCCTCAAAGATACAATGAAAGAGAACACCTACACGACACAAAAGATGTCTGAGAGACCCATGCAGCTATACTTCAGAAGGTGGAGGTGCTGGAACCCCCCACACTGAAGAAGTGGAATGAGGTAAGAGAAATCTTCTCTTCCTCCCTGAAGGGCAGTGACCCAGGGATTGTGATGGCTCTGAGAGGGATGGGGGGTGTGGCCCTCCACGGGGACACCATTGCTCTCCAAGGTCCCTCACAGCCTTGGGGAAAGCCCCACGTAAAGGTGACTATTTTAGGGGTGTCTTCATCAAGCTAACACTCCAGAAGAGCAGATAGCAATGGCAGAGGGAGAAGACCCCAGGATCATGCAGGAGGAGGAAA